GTTCGAATCCTGGACCCGGTGGCTTAAATTCATGCCGGGCATGTGTGCATGTGTACTGTAGATCCCGAGAGGAGAATGGAGGAGAAGGGATTGCAGCGTGGCCATCCCCCCCGGGGAGTGATTTCTCGCTTTCTGTCTCTCTGTGTCTTTCTGGTGAGCGCATGCACCCTATAGCAAAAACCTCTCCCAAAAAAAAGAATAGTATTTTAACTCTATCCCTGGTAGCACGGCCAGCCGGGGAAGCCAGCCACAGGTGACGATGTTCTGTGTAAAAAGCCATCGTCGGTCCCTCATGGCAGTGCACAGGAAGCCTTTGGAGTGAGCCCGTTCAGCTGGGCCTTACTGGCTCTGGCTCGGTGTTCTCTGGAAGAGTTTGTTCGGTCCCTGGCTTCGCTCGCAGGCTGCCGTCCCCCACAGTATGGACTTTCTTTGACCTGCCGTCCTGTAATCGCAGCTGCCCACACAATGCCCGGGAGAGCTCGGGGCATCTTGCTCCTCCCAGGATTCCGTGTTAGGTAAAGTCTGGTGCTGTCGACCCCAACTCCTCCAGGTCCCACCTCCCCTGCATCCGGCTGGACACCCCTTGGCCTTTCCAGACACACACCGCCCCCCACCATGGTGGGACCCTGAGCCTTCACTCGCACGCTCTGGGCTCCGGTTGTCCTGTGCCCTGGGTGTCTCCTCCCACGAGGTCTCCGCCTGGCACTGGACCTGGCTGGGACAGGAGCATTTGTTCCCTGAGTGGCTGAGGGATGCCTGCCCTGCCGTGCCGCCGTAGGCTAGGCTACGACCCTGCACGCTCTGCTGAGCCGGAGCCTCCTAGTTACTGGCTGCGGTGAAGACGGCTCCCGCCTCTGTTCTGGGTCTCCAAGGCAGTGCTGGGCAGCCTGCTCAGCCTGCGGCAGCGGCATTTTCCCACGTGACCACGGGGTGTCTCCACAGATGCCTGCTCCGTGCCCGTTGCTGAGATTATCGCGGTCGAGGATGTGGATGTCCACAGGAAGCACCAGGCCAGCGGCAAGTGGCAGAAGATGGACAAGCCTTACGCCTTCACAGGTGACCGCCGAGGGCCCCCTCCCACGTGCTTCGCCTTCGTAATTCTGCGCCATCGCGCGGCAGGAAGCTCTTCGACCCTCGTTTAACGCTCAGTGGTCGGTTCTCTTCTCAGAATCTTCCTAAGACCACCTTTCCCAGATCCACGTTCAGTTAGTCTGTTTGTAGCTAACTCTTTTTGCTTATTTTCTTTATTTTGTGGGTGGGTTAAAAGATCTGAGAAGGAGGCGATCTTCTAGCAGTGCCCGAGAGTCACTAACTAGCTGGAGGACGGGCCACCCCAGCGGCTTCCAGGACGGCGCTGCAGGTAGCGTGCGTCTGGGGCCTGCGCTGGAGGCGTTGCGAGGCCGAGCCCTGCACTAACGGTGTGCTGTTGTCTCTGCAGTTCACTGCGTGAAGAGGGCGCGGCGTCGCCGCTGGAAGTGGGCGCAGGTGACTTTCTGGTGTGCGGACGAGCAGCTGTGTCACCTGTGGTTACAGACGCTCCGGGGGCTGCTGGAGAAGCTGAGTACGTGTTGTGCGTTGACAGGAACGGGGGCGCCTGCAGGAGGAGCCCGGGCTCGGGCATGTCTCCGTCCCTTCCCAGGAGGGCCGTAACCAAGGTGGATGCGATGGATCAGTTTCCGCTTTTAAAAGTTTGCTCATTTGAGAACCAACACAGTCTGTGGGAAGGGCACGAGCCCCGTGGCCGGGACCCCACTCCCCACTCCTAGCCGGGCTACCCCAGCCCAGCACCCAGTCTCAGCCAGTGGGGAGCTCTTACTAGGGGGCCTGGGAAGATCACTTAGCCTTCTGGGCCTCGTTCCTTTCCCTGGAAGGGGAATGGTAAGTGAAGGGGAAGCTGGTTCGGGGGGGAGGGTGCACCTCTTCCTCCACAGGGACGTGTCCACACCTGAAATGGCCGAGTGGTTAGTCACTCTGCACCGGGTCACGGGGGCTGGCTGCCCTGTGGAACGGGGGCGGTTCGTCCACTCTGTGGCTGTGGGACTATTTCATGTGGTAATCTTCATAAACAGCCTTGACGACACAGTACAGCCTTGACTGTAGAATAGAAACTGCATATATGTCGCTAGTTTTATATCTTTTTGGGTTAACTTGGCATCTACATGCAAAAAGGGAATTTTTTTTTTTTTTTTGGAGAGCTTTTTGCTGTAGAGCACATGCACTTGCCAGAAAGACAGAGACAGAGAGACAGGAAGTGAGAAATCACCCCCCAGGGGGGATGGCCACGCTGCAATCCCTCTTCCATTCTCTTCTTGGGATCTTGGGCACACATGCACATGTGTCCGGTGTGAGTTTAAGCCACCGGGTCCGGGACTTGAGCCGTAGTCGACCACATGGGAGTCCAGAGACATAGCCATTATGCCAACTGCTGGTCCCCGGACATTCTTAATTTTAATATTTTTGTATTTTTTTAAACTTTATTTAGGGTGTCGTATTTAAGACATCTTTGTCTTTCCTCACACTCTCTTCCTTCTCTCACCCTCTCCCACTCGTATCTGGGATCTACAACCATTCCCATGCCGCTATGTCCTTCAGTCCTTCGGTTTCTGCCATAGAGTGCGCAATCCGTGTGTATTAAGTGGAGACATACAGTGTCTCCTTCGTGGCCTGGCTTGCTTCACTCAGCAGTAAATCTTAAATATTCGTCCACTTTCTATCCAAAGCCAGAGTCTTGCCTTTTTTTTCTGTCTGAATAGTATTCCATAGAGTATATGTGCCACACTTTTTCAATCCATTCTTTTGTTTGTGGATATTTGTGAGTAAAGTCATTAAGGAGAAAAATAGAGAAACAAGACATTTGACACAGAAATTAATTATTATCTGTGGATGATGACATGTATAGTATTCCCAGCTGGACTGGTATGAAATGTATTCATGTTGGAAATTCACTTAACAAGCTAAGTCATAGATAGTGATTGAATGTATAAAAATATGTATTAGAAAAAGAATATTAACAAAAGGACATTTTTGTCTACTCTGAAGTCATGAAGATGTTCTCTTCTTAACATTTTATAATTTTACCTTTTGCATCTAGAACTTTTTTTGTTGTTGTTGAAGTTTTTGCCACAAGGCATGTGCACTCACCAGAGACAGACAGACGGGGGAAAGTAAGATGTGATTTTTTTTGGTGGGGGGGAGAGGTGTTTTTTTTTTTTTTTTTTTTTTTTTTTTTTTTGTA